TAGTATGTTTAAAATTCGTCTTAGACTTATTTCTTATATTCTTTTTATTACTCCCTTATATTTGCTATTGTTGTAAAGTATGCGATTTCTTCAGCAGCTTAAATGTACACTTTAATTTAAGGTGATTATGTACAAAAGGATTCTTCTTTAATACAACTCAATTCCTTACACTTTCGCTATTCTTCTTCTTCGTTATTTCTTGTTCACTTGTTTTAATTCATTTTTACTTCAACCTCTAGATATTAGGACACCCTTTTTTTTTGTTAGCAAATAGAGTAGTGGCATTAATAAAGTTTTAGATTTCTAAGTTTCTTTGCTATTTTTTTTTTCTTCATTAGTTCTTTTTCTTTCATTTTGCTGTTACTTAACTTAAACTACATTATTACATTGTTTGTAGCTGCTGCTGCTGTTCAAATCTCCAGCCTTCAGCCTTGTGTTAAGTGTGTTGGTTGTGAATATAAAGGATAAAGTTTTTTCTTCATGATGTTTTTTTTTTTTCTTCTTTTTTTCTAGTTTTAATACGAGTTGTACTTATTAGAGCTTTTTACCTAATTACGAAATGGTTTTTGATTAATGTCTATAATTTTGTGGCATTAATTCAATAATTTTTTTCTTTTTCCTTTTTACTTGTACTCTTTTTGTATAAAAGTGTAGAAATTTTTCTTTTTTAAGTTTTCGAGATTATTTATGAAGTTGTACAAGTGTTATTGCGTATTTATTTAAGTATAGAATAATCCTTAATTGCTTTTTGTGGTGGAAAGGGCGGAGTGTTTATTAGGTTAATTTTACGTCAAAATTAAAGAACGCTGTTATAAAGCCTGAAAGTATGCTACAGTTTATTGGGTTAAAGAACAGAGTCAGTTCTTTTCTGGTCCTTTGTCGCAGGAATGAAAGTAATACCTAGCAGTCGATCTGAACGTCCCGAACTACCTACTTTACATACCACTTAAGTTTACCACTAGCCACCGATTGTCCAGGTGACTAGCTATCTTAACATGTGCTTGTCCTACGAGGAAGTCAATCGTCACCCCATATATTAAGAAGAGACAGACAACAAGTTTATGATTGTTTTCTAAGTGTCTCGCTTACAAAAGGGACACTAATGTGACGATTATCTTCACCCTTGTTTACAAAGAGTACATCCGTGATGAAAGGCGAATCAGAACCAACCAGATGGGTAGACGTTAGTGAAAATTACTGTCTTTTTCGGGTGAATTGACTCTTTGTTGAACTGCAGGGTACCTACACCATTTGTACCTTCACAAACTCTACTGCACTCCCCGAAATATTTATAAGACCAAAATGATTTTTGTCGTAAGTTAGGAATTAATGGTGCAATTATGGAATAATTCGGCAAGGATATTTGTTGTTTTAAAGTAATATTTTGTGGTATGAAAATATTAGGTGTCGATATTCCACATTAAAACTAACGGTATTTAAAGTTTATATTCGAAATAACGTAAGATACTGTAACTCAATGCAACTGCAAAAGATAAATCACCCACACGCAGTTCAATAAAGCCAACGTATAGTTTCCTTTTAGTTTTCACAAAAGATTCATCAATGTCTTGCATTATATAACTGACATTTTTTGGCAAACTGTCAATGACATATTTACCCATATGGCAATACCTCCAACAAATATACAGACTGGCAAAATAAATATGATTTTCTTATGTTCTTAAAATAAAAGAGAAAAATAAAGAAACTTTATTCATATAGCATATTTTGTGGCTGCCAGTTGAAACTTTTCACACACACACACAGGGTGTTTACTTTTACGACTTTACCAAACAAACTCTTCCATCATCAAATATGTTGTATGCTGGAAAATAAAAACCAATGAATGAATGAAAGAAAAAAAAAATTATGTATATAAAAGAAAAAATTGTTTGTGTTTTTTTTTTCTCCTTTCATTTCATAAAAACATGACAAAATTGTGTCAACCAGTAAAGCCGCAAAATATGGCCGCATATAAACACATAAAAAGATACGTTTTTCTTTTGCAATATTCAGTTTGTTTGTTTTTTTCCTAGCAGTTTAAGTTTTTTTATATGTATTTTATTAAATGTAGCATATGTTAAGGAGTATTACATATGTTTTTTTTTTGCTAGAGTTTTGTTTGTGGGAGAGAATGTTAACAACGTTCGTTCACTCATTCATTCACAGAAGATTTAATGCAGTCAAGCGTTAGAATGTGGAAATTATGAAACGAGTGTATTAAAGCATGAAACTTTGATGAGAATTCTTATATTTTCGGTTTTTATTTTTGTATTTTTATTGCCAACAAAAGAAAGCTTACAACACATTTAGGGAGAAAACAAATAATAAAAATAACTTTTATTTACACATACTAGGCTAGAAAACTACTAATACACTGTTTACCTTCCAGTTTGAAATATGAAAAAAGTTAAAAAAGTAAAGCATACACATAGTTTATTTTGATTAATTGAAACATACTTTTGGGCGTGCTATAACGACAGTTATTATTATTAAAAGTAAAGCACACTTTTAAGAAAAATCTTAATTTTGCTTGCTTTGATAATATAAGGCCTACTTTTAGGAGTTTTTTAAAAATGTTAAATTTCGTTTAAGTTTCTTTTTTTTTGGAAACGGTGTAATCTTTTTCTATTACTTGTTGTAAAATAGTTATAAACATTCAAATAAAACTTTATATATACGTATATGTAAACACAACTCTTCCAAATGGTGTATTTCAAGCATTATGATGGGCAATCATGTTTAAGCATCTCATATAGGAGAAATATAAAAATTTATAAAAAAAAACACACTAAAATGGCGTTAAATGTAATTGTCCTGAAAGCCATAACTTTATATACATTTATAATAAGAATTTATAACGATTGTGTGCCACTTGCTGTTGAGCCCCTTAAGGCGTTAACAAAAATTGCCTATAAATTGTTAAATAAATTATGATAAATTATAAAATATTTTTCCTATAAGCAAATTTCATTTTACAAACTATTTAACTAGTGTCCTTTGAAATATGTATACTTTCGAAAAGGGGTTGTTGTCAGTAGTGTTGTACTAACCATTAAATTAAGCCAACAAATTTTATGGGTTTTTGCTTAAGTTTTTTTTTTTTTCAGTTAGTTTTCCTAGTTTTTTAAGTGTAATTCCATGTACATGTTTGTATTTTTTCTTCATTTTATTAACTACTCTTATATTTTTTTTGGAAAAAAAAAAACATAATTTTTTACGTGCTCAAACTTTTATGACCCGCCAATGGAACGTGCTTAAAGTAGGGTAACGGCTATATACAAAACGTTTTTAGTTTTGTAAAATGTTTTTCATAAAAAACACAATTTCAATAATTTTTTTAAGGTATTGTTTGAAATTAAAGCTAAAATATATATCAAATAAAACCAAAGAAATAAATTATTAATTTGGCAAAAATGTAAAATTTGCTTATAATTTTTGTAAAAAAAAAAAAATAATTTTAATTTTAAAAATTTTGTAAAAATGTCACATTTAATTTTTATAGGTTGTAAATTGTAAAAGGTTTATGTAACACAAATATAATATTTAATTGACAAGAATACAATTTTGATTAAAAGTTTTTAAATTCTAAAGAGTTTATCACCTTGAAGTAGGCTTTGGTTTTAAATTTGTTATTATTTTAAAATTTGTGTTACATAAAACTGTTTTATCCTTATTTTTTTATAAACTAAAGTAGTTTATTTTTATTTTAAAACTATTTCTAATTTTTAAATATTTTTTATAGAATTATTAAACCCTTAGGGTAAAAAAGAGTTTATATTTTAATATTCTATATTAAATATAAGAGTTCTGCATGTTTCTAGTTAATTATTTGCAATAATAAAGAAATTGTTTAAGGAAAATTTATAATTTTTTGGGAAAAACGTTAATGAATTTAAAAGAAAAATTTTAAATACTGCCTAAAAGTTGGCAACAGTTTTCGATTTAACTGTTAGCAACAGTTTCCATTGTTTCCAATGGACACATTCGTTTCGGAACTTATATTTCAAAAGTTATTTGATGACTTTTTCAAATACAGAACGATTTTTCCTAGAAGTAGGCAACGGTTTTTTAGTATTACAGTAAAGGCGTATTTCAACAATTATATTCCTTTTTGTTTTAATTTTGAAATTATTCATTTAATTTTATTCCCATAATTTGTCTTTTAAAGTATTAAAAAGATAAATATTTCTTCTTTTTAGTCTTAAGAATTATGGCTGATTATTAGAATAGTGGAAACTTGTTCATAAAAGTTTTGCTTATTTAAAATTTCATTAATCCACTTGTACATGTCTAAATCTTCTATTTAGGATCCATAATATATACACTTTGTGATCAATATTACAAACGAAATGACAACATTAATATTGTCTAATTTTAGGCTAAATATTTGATTAAATAGTTTAGCCTACTTCTAGGTTAAGTTTAATATAACCGCCCTTGATTTAGATTTAGGAGATCAACTTTGTAATCTAAATTAGCTTTTAATTAATCATTGCATCACAAAATATAAAATTTTCCTTTAAACAATTTCTTTATATTTAAAAAATATTTGCAAAATAACAAACTTTAAATTATATTCATAGAAAAAAATTTACTATTAATCAAGTTTCGTTAAAAACCACCACCCAAACTTTTTTCTGTATATAAAAAACACCAATCAAATTTTTAAATAAATAAAATTTTTAATTATACTATGTTCATATAAATATTATTTTTCTTTTCAAAACAAACAATATTAGCTGCATTCATTAGAGTTTCTTTTTCTAAATTTTAAATTATATATTTTAATATAAAAAAAAATAAATTAGCGAAAATCAAACAACAAAAGCATTCATATAAAAAATTAATCATTATATACAAAACAAAACTTTTTTTAAATTGCATCATTTTCATTATAATTATATATAATAATTAATTTGTTTTTTTTAATAAAATAAAATTAACATAAATTTCTTTTAAATTTTTCCCCCTTCCTCAAATCAAATAAAAATTTTTAGCCGTGTATCGGTAATGCGTGGTCAGGTGATAACTCCTCAAGGTTTGGGTATTGTTGGCATACGAGTATCAGTGGATAGAGATTCAAGATTTGGATTTACTTTGACGCGGCAAGGAGGATGGTAAGTAAAATTTATTGTATTATATAAGAAAAGTAGTGTTTAGAAAAAACGGATATGGAAACCAAGTTGTGCTGTATTTTACTTATGAGTTTTCATTATCAAAAGCTCATTATAACAAAACTCAATTATTTTAATGTATTAATGTTTTAAACTAACAAACTAATAAGTTTATATGTTCTATTATAAACTCATATTAGTTTATTGCTGCTACATCCAATAATGTGTAGAAAAAAAATAAAAAGTTTTTAATTGAAATCCAATATTTTTTTATAAAAAAGAAACAAAAAATAATTAATTCTTAATTTCAGCTAATGGAATAAGGGCTTAATGAAATAAAATTAAAAATAGTTGTTATCTACATTGAAATGTTATATAAATTTTGCAAAATTACTTAAGCATAGTCTACTTTTAGGCGCTAAATTTGTTAAATAACTGCAAAGAACTTTCCTATTAAAAGCTTTCGTAAATTTTCTTTAAACTTTTTTTCACAACTTTTAAAAAATATTCCTTATAGTTATATAAAAGTCTTAAATTAAAATTGCTTAAATATAGTGTATTTTTAGGCTTTATATTCTCAAACGAGCTGCACAAAATATTTTTTATTAAGAGTATTAATAAGATTTCATTGCAAAATATCTTAAAACTGTAGGAAGTTATTTTTCTTCAAATTTATAACATTTTGAGCATCTTAATTTCAAATTGCATTACCATAGACAATTTTTAGGCGCAATAATAATCTTTAAAAACTCAATTTTCTTTATTAATTGGAGTATTTTTTAATAAACATTTTGTTTATAGGACCTTTTTCTCTATATATACTTTATTAAATTTCTTTTCCATTAATTTTCTCTGAACTTGTACCTCTGTTCTTGAGCGTAGTGTTGCAACACACTACGTACCAACAGTAAAATAACAATTTCAAAAACAACAAGACGTTAAAAACCGCAACAAAACCATTATAATAATTTCATTTTATATATTATTTTTTTTTTCTCAAAAACCCCACGTAAACAATATTTCATTAAAATTATGGTAAAAAAGAAACAATGCATGCTTATAGGAAAGGAAATAATAAAAGAATTAAAGAAAAAGTCTATTTGAATATACACAACATAAGAAGTTTATAGACGATGAAATATAGCGATGTGTAGAATTAATTTAAATGCTTTAAGCTATTTAATTATAAATTTATTTTTTTTTAATATAAACATCAGACAAAGTACAAAGGAATATAAAAGAAATCATTTAGAGGAACAAGCTATTTTAAGAAACTTAAAGAGAATATAATTAATGGCAAAAGAATGTTGATGAGTTATATAATGATAGAAAAATCTATAGAAATAATTTAAGGAAAATGGTAGGAATTTTTTAAAAAAGCTTTCAAAAGGTAGATGAGAATAGGAACACTTCAGGGTCTTGCGAAATACTCTTTTTAATTTTTTAATATAAATTAGAAAATTCCAAGAAGAGTATATGTCCCAAAGAATTTCTAAAAATACTTATGTTCCTTTGTCTGTCCATCTTACTTTTTAAGAAAATTAGTAAAAATTTTTCATCAATTGAGAAACATTGGAAAATTCACTTTCCCTCCATCTGTATATACTAAAATCAATTAGAAAGTCATATGATTGAAATAATTTGACTTAGATTTTAAAATAATTTATGAAAATAAAGAGAAAATTAAGAAATTTGCAAAAAATTTCGAAAAAATACATTAGGCCAATACACTGTCCGTCCGTCTGTTGTAAGATTCAAGAAACGAGACCTATTAGAATTACATTATAAACTTTTAGAATCTGAGAAAAAGTAGCTTAAGTGTTTAAATATATAATAGCAGATTGCAAAAAGCTCCTGGTCTGAAACTGTGTATTATTGAAGTATAATATTTCTTTAGAAAAATTCCTATGATTTTTAGTGCTGATGTTTGTAACGCACAATAATATTGGTCCAATACCCACCTTAAAGTATAACAATCGGCTTAGAATCATTTTCTGAGTCGATTTAGCTATGTCCGTCCGTCTGTCCGTCCATGTAAACCTTGTAACCAAACTATAAGTCGAAATTTTGAAGATAATTCAATGAAATTTGGTACATAATATTCTATTGTCCCAGTGACGATCGGTCCATTGTTTAGGGCTTGTAAACCTTGTAATCAAAATACAGGTCGCAATTTCTTACTTAAATTAATTTTATTTATTTTAAAGAGTTTATCATTTTATAATAATTGCAATTTCCATAATCATATACGTTTTATTAAAAATAATTTACCAATTTAGATTATTAAATGATTTCATGAACAAAACTTTAATTTAAAAATCAGTTCACAACATTGTTTCAGCGGTTTTATTGTTCTCATTACAATACATATACGGATCTGTTTATTTTGGTAATTTTTTTGTTATATAGAACATATTTAAGCTACTGCAAGGCAATATAATTATACGATTTTATTATACATTTGGACATTGTGTGTGTGTGTGTTTGTATAAAGCTTAAGCATACGCCCTGTAGTTTTTAAAAGGATTAATTTATCCTCTTTTCTTAAAAACTTACTCTGTTACTCTTTATAGTGTAAAAAGCAATTCAAATGTCCTTTTAACATAGGGTAATAATCTAATGGAAAGTCCATCAGCACCTAACTGACCCTAAGTAGTCTAGAGAGTTGACAATTTAAAGCTTTTTTAGTTTACAACAGCCTTCGGAATTTCAGGGTATATATAAAGCAGCAGTCTCTTATAAAATTATGTTTTCTGTTAGCGATATTTACACATGCATGTATAAAAACTGTGCTATTGTGTTAAAGCTTTAATCAAGCTTAAAATGTAAAAGTTTATGACTTTAGTATTAATTCACAAGGAAACACATATACACACGCACTTATGTGTAAACATTTATATGTAGATATATTCAAATCCATATAAGAGTATAAGGTAATAAAAGGAAATTGCCATATTGTTTCGAATATACATATTTTTGTCTGTTTTTTTTGTTCTTTTTTTGCGATTTTTTTTTCATTATGTTTTATATGCATATTATTATATATTTTTTTGTTGTTTCTGCTGTTTGCTGTTGGTGGAGTATAAAATTATTATAAATTTTTGTATATATATAGATATCAGTACAGAGAAATGTGTATACAAAAATTTCCTACAAAACAAAGCTTTAATATACATGTATTTTGTGCAAAAAATTTGTATAAGTAGTTGTATATTGTTGCAATAACCAATATACTCCTACATACATATAGATAAATTCATACTGCATGCAATTACATGTTGGGTACTTTTTCTGTTATATAGAGCAACAGACAACACGCAAATATACTGCAATGTTAACATGTATAATAATCAAGCTACTACCCACCATTGAAACTACTAACCAACCATTCAACCAACCATCCAACCAAACCCTCTGCATCAGCAACAAAATATTTATAATATATGTATAAACATTGCTTTTCTTACATACATGTATGTATGTGCAACATACATATGTATGCGTGTTTGTATAGAGAAAACAGAATGGGATTGGTTGCATGGATTTAAGGCACTAGGCTAATGAAGAATTATGGCTCATCGTGGATATAAAAATAATAACAGCGAACACTAGAAGCAAATATATTTTGTTTCTGTTGAAAACTCGCAAAAAGGACGAAAAAAATAATGAAAAATTTAATGAAAAAATTAAAAACAATTTAAAAATGTTTAAGTAAATAATTGCATACAAATGAAGGGAAATGTACCTACAAATAATTGAGAAAGAAGGAAAAGTAGGAGCATAGTTAACTTTAAAAGTATTAGAATTAAATGATCCACAATTAAGAAATCGCTTTCATACAGATATAAAATGTTACTGATAACCGACCATATGATACCCTACACCAGTGGTTATGTTAACAATTTTTGATTATTTTTTTTTTTTTTAATAATAAAGTGTTTAATTTAATTTATACTTTAATTCAGAAATATTTTAACAATTTGTCGACAAAAAAGGGATTTTCTAAATGAGGGGTTATATGGGGGCAGAGGGTTAATGTGGTCCTATCCTTATACATTTTGGTAGAGGAATTTTAGTTATTTGTGCAGAATATCATCATGATATTAGTGTTTATAAGAGAATTTTGAACATAAGGTCATTTTCTGAAGGGGACTTTGTATGGGAGATAGGGTCAAATAAGGCCCGATCATTACGAAAATAAGCAGTATTAAGACTTATATAAAACTAAGTTTTGCCGATTTTTTTAAGTGGTAGAAGAGCATTTAACATATTTATGAGCTTAAAAAACATATTCGGGGCGTACGGTTGTATGGGGTCTATAGAAAATAATGAACCGATTTCAACCACTTTTAATAGGTTTCGTTCTTGGATCAAAAGATGAGTATGTGCCAAATTTCATCAAATTATCTTGAAAATTACGATCTGTAGAGTGCTCACAAGTTTTACATGAACACACAGACGGACAGACAAACGGACGGACAGACAGACAAACAGACAGACAGACAGACAGACAGACAGACAGACGGACGGACAGACGGGTGTAGGATCAAAAAACATCAGCACAAACGCATAATCCCCTCCCCACTATAGTGGTGTAAGGTATAAATAGAATCTTAAAATGTCAAACGTTTTTATAAATTAACAATTTCTATGAACTTTAAAATAGATTTTAATAGATCTAGGCTTAAGAATTTATATTCTATTTATATACTTTTTTATAATTTTTACAACACAAAACCAATATTTCCATTGATTTTACTTCACCTAAAACTGCCTTAAAGAGTGCCATAGAGAATTATTTACTAATTTATTAAAGCATTCTCGGAATATTCGCGATAAAATTTTATATTCTGAATAAATGAGTATTTCTACTTTTCTTTGAAATTTATTCAAAATATTTTCATTTTTCGCGCATAACAGAAACTCCTTAAAAGTATGCCATAGATTCTTTATGAAGTTCGTACCACTTTTAGATCGGAATATTCTCGATAAAAATTTGTAAGTCTTTTACACGGTCATAACTAAAACTCCCTTTAAAGTATGCAATATTTTCTTATGATTTTCTTAGAACTATTAGATCGGAATATTCTGAAACTTTAAAGTAAGAACAAAATGTATGTATATTCTATAGAACAAAGTAATTCTATTGTTTTTTTTAATTTATTCAAAACATTTCCCATGCAATTACGAATATAAACTATATATTCTTTCATCTCTTCATAAAATTGCAACATTTTAATTTGTTACAAAAAAATATTTTGTATCATATGACATTCATTAAACATATATTTTTTTTATATGTTCTCTTTTTATTTTACACGATTTTTACATTGATTTGATAAAACAGATTAAAAAAAAAACAAACGACAACAGTAAAAATTGTATGCAATTACAGCTGGACAAGAGAAAAAATGTCAAATTAATTTATAAAAAAAGAAACTGAAATGCAACAAACCAACAACAAAAATTCATATAAATGTATTTTTACCACAATTACTCTTAACATTTACAAAATACATACAAAATATATTGTAACAATGAGAAATATTTTAAATTGACACATCAGAAAATGAAAAGAGAAACAAACAAACCATCATTATTTTTTTTTCTGTTAAATGAGGAAAGAAACATTTTATTAAATGGCTATAGAATTATATAAAATATTTAAATATATTGAAAGGAATTTAAAAGAAAATTACTTAAATTATAAAATAAAATTGTATTAAAAAATAATCATACGTCTAGATGTGTTTTTGATTTTTATAAGACAACATATTCGAAGCATACTTTTTGGGGGTTGTATAATTTATCTTTTAAATTAATATATTTTTTTTCGAAATTTGTTTTAAATTTGTTTTTTATATGTTTTATTTAAAATAAATTACTTTAACATAAAATCGTTTTATAATCGTTAACGCCTCATTGCCTTTATTTTCTTATTGATGTGTCTGTTCTTTTGTAGTTTCCTTTATATATTTCCTTTAGTTTTATTTATATATTTTTCTGGTACTTAATATAAATTAAAGCAATTTTTCTTTTAATACCAAAAAAAAAATAAAAGAAAATGAAATGAAACCCAAAAGAAATCTCTAGTGTGCTTATGAAAGCATATAAAGAAAAAAAAAAGAAAGCCATATACAATAACCTCTAAATTGAAGGACAATATAAATTTCAGAAAAAATAAGCAACTTTCATACAATAGACAACTAAATTATATCCATACATATGTATTTATAAACATATGTACACACATACATATAAGATATATCCTTAATATACATATGTATAATAATATGTAGACAAGTAGTAGTGTGTTGTAGTATCTTACAATACAATATAAATGTATTTGTTAGCCACAATATTACAAGGATATATCACATATTTTCTTCATGGCAAATACAATAACATGTGTTCTGATGAGTTTTTTAACATACTATCTCCTGTTTCTTGTCCTTCTTTTTAACATTTTCTTTTTACATCCTACAACTCAAGTAGTGATGAATGATGTTATATATAAGTTTATTGTTTTGTGTGTGACAATATTGGAAATATACTCCGAATTATTATAATAATGTTAAGTTCACAGATCTAGAGATTTTTAACAAACTGGAGTTCAGTACAAGAGTAATCAATGAGTTTACAGAATTCATTTAAAATCTATTTTATTTCTTATATTTTAAAATTTTCAAGAATATTCCGAGAATTTCGTCCACTGTTCTATTTAAGCCGCAAAATATTGTATACTTTTAGGCAGTTATGAAAATAGTATGTTCTTGTTTTATAAATACAGAAATAAATAAATAAAATCAAAATATAAACGGTCATTACAAATTCGTTTAAGCTGAACTTGTCTTCTAATTTCTGTTTTTCCTTTTTTTCTACTTTTGCCTTTTTAAGGATTTTTTTATATACCACAAAAAATATATAAATAAAAACCAATTTTATTTATATTATTTCCGTAAAATTTTATTAAAAAAAAAAACAAAAACTAAAGAAATATAATAAATATTTTATTTTACAAGATTATTTGTTTTATTTGGTGGTTTATACAAGAAATGAAAAAGGATATGAATTTGTTTTATTTTGTTTTACTATATAATATGGAAGGAGTTTTTTTTAGTAACCTTAATTTGACCGTTAACAACATATGTACATATTTTTATCTGTAGACAGCAATAGATAAGCTTTACAATTAAGAATGAAAATCAAACTATAAGATATAAATTTTCAAATTTCGAATTCAATATTTAAAGTTAGAACAAAATGTACATTTTCAAAAAGAAAATTTATAAGGACAAAATTTACATTAGCATCATAGTTTTACTTTAGATTTAGAAACATTTATTATTGAAATTAAAAAATCATATCTTTCGCTTCTTACTAATTTTATTTTAAATAAATTTTTTCTAATAATCTTATCATATCTTTTATCCCTTAGGTTTGATGTCCTAGTAAATGGTGGTGGTGCTGTGACATTACAATTCCAACGTTCACCATTCCGTCCCTTAACACGTACCGTATTTGTGCCCTGGAATCGTATTGTGGTCTTGCCACCCGTACAAATGCAGTTAAGCGATGATGATGAAAGTGCCAGCAGAAATATAAAGTAAATAAAAATCTCTTTTTTTATATATATTTACAACCCCATTAATCATAATTTTAAACACATTAAAATAACATTCCTTTTTCTTTTCATTTTTATTATCTTCCATAGAGTGGCACCTTTAAATCCCGCCTTAACCTTCCTCAATTCGATTTTGTATCACTTCAACGATGAGCCTGTCAGTGATGCTCATAAAATCTGTATGGAACATGATCATGAAGAATTGAAACCACAATTAATTAGCACTTGGATGCCAAATGGCATAGGAGCAATGCCGGGCAAACGTGTTATATTTGCCGAGACACAGGTGCGTATGATTAATGCTGCTATTTTTTGAAAATAAAATACATATTTAATATTACCTTAGGAGTGAAAAAAAGCTAATTAACAAAAAAAAAAATTTAATATGGTGTAGAAAGCAGAAAAGGAATTTTACTTTACTCTAACCTTTATTTTGGTCACGTTTTTTCTTTACTTCTTTCCTTTTCCACTCCTCATTAATGAGGAATAAAAGCCAGTAGCTTTAAGTATATGCTATTTTATTAGTAGTACCTTGGGGTCCTTTTAATAAATCTTCATGTTGGCCTTTTACAAATAGTATATAGTACGTTTTTTTTTTGCATTTTGTAGGTTAATATACAGTTCCTAAAACTATACTATATACATAAGATTTTAATACTCTTGTTCAGGTTTAAGCACAACCTGTTCTTTCATGTCGTACTCCAGCTTTAATATATTTTTCAAACCTTAAAATGTTCGGTCCGTGCCGCTTTTCTTTTTATAGTATTTCCTTCGTGTTGTGCCGCTGTTACGACTTTTTGTGTTAAGCTTTAGTTTTGTCTTATTTTTTTAAAATATTTTCATTTTGTAGTTAGGTTGCTATTATATATTTTTGCATTATTTATGTTAAAGTTGTAACTCATGCAGGGTTGTATTGTGCTACTACTACCTTGTAAATGTTGCTGCTGTATGGCATATTACCTTTAACTGACACCATCTGCAACTTTGTGAACGTTTTAATTAAATTACTATTTACCTTATGGCTCACTTTAAAATGTGTTCATTTCTTGCTTCTTTTTTTCCATATTATTTTGTCATTTCATAAGTTGTAGCTGGGTGTAAGATATTTTTAATACTATATAGTTTTACTTTCATTAAATTAAAATTATAGTCTAGGGAACTATTGACCTACACAGTAAAATGTTTACAAAAGATGTTTTGTTTTTCTCTTTTAATAATTTAAAGTAGAGTTTAAGTGTTAAAAGTTCTTTAAGGGGATAATAAATGAAAAGTTTGTAAAATGTAGGTTTCTAAGATTTATGTCTTTAAATAGAATCATTAATAAGCAGCCGTTATTAAAGTTGAAACACATTTTTATAATTACAACATCAGTTTTTCTTCGGGTGTTCTTTATGAACAAATATTAGAAATAATTATAATATTATTTTCATAATTCTATAACAAAAGTCTTAAGGATTCAGGAACTTTAGATTTTTCAGCTCAAGATTAATTTTTAAAAGAATTTCCATTTGAACAATTTTAATTCCAAAACTTATTTTTCATCGACAAAGCTCCTTATTTATTAAAAATACTATTTTAATTGAAAAAGCTCTTATTTTATTGAATAAGCTCTTTTTATTGAAAAATCTGTTTTTTATTGAAAAAGCTCTTTTTTTATTAAAAAAAGCTCTTTTTATTGAAAAAGCTCTTTTTTTATTAAAAAAATCATTTTTATTGAAAAAGCTTTTTTTTATTAAAAAAAGCTTTTTTATTGAAAATGCTCCTTTACTGAAAGGTTTTTTAATTAATTAATCGAGAAAGCTCTTTTTATCAAAAAGTAATCTCACATTTACATCAATCAAGCTTTTTTTCATCGTAAAAGTCCTGTTTTAAAGAGATTTATTTTCTATTGATAAAAATCTTTTTAATTGTTTTCTACAAAAAAAAGCTTTTATAAATGAAAAAGTTTTTTGTTAACATACAAGCTATATTTCACTAAAAAAAGCTTTCAAAATAAAGTACTACAAAATGATTAATTTCATAAATATAACTTTTCATTTTTACAGATCGTTCAAGAGTCCATCCAAATTCCCGGTTCCGATCTTCATCTAACCTATCAATCTTCGCAAGCTTCTGGTTACCTCAGCATCGTGCGCATGCGTTTGACATCAGAGAAAATACCCAAAACTTTGACACATGTACATGTGGGTGTTGAAATCGAAGGTTCTTTGCATGTGAAAACGTATGAAGCTGATCCCAATCTCATACACACTTTCGCCTGGAACAAACGTAACGTGTATAGACAAAAAGTTTATGGAGTCACCATAGCACGCATCTCTGTGGGTTATCAACATTCGACATGTGATACCCCAGTATGGATTACCCAAACCGCTAAACTACAAGGTTATGATGTGGATATTTCTGATATAGGCGGTTGGGGTTTGGATATCCATCATCACTATAACTTCCATGAGGGTATACTACAAAAGGGTGATGGCAGTACATTACATATGAAGGAGTATCCTCGCACCGTGAAGGTTGTAATGGGTACTGGTCTACAGAGACCTTTGAATTGTCCAGATCATTGTAATGGTATAGCCAAGGATGCTAAGCTGTTAACGCCTATAGCTTTAGCTTCAGGTCCTGATGGTAGTTTGTATGTAGGAGATTTTAATTTAGTGCGACGTATAACCCCCGATGGCAAGGTTTATACCATCTTACAGTTGTCGGCTACACAAGTGTCGTATCAATATTATTTGGCCGTGTCACCAGCTGATGGTCATTTGTATATCTCAGATCCCGAAAGACATCAGATATTACGTTTACTTAGATTGGAAAAAGTTAAGGATCCTTCAATTAACAGTGAACCAGTGGTGGGTTCGGGACAACGTTGTATACCTGGTGATGAGGGTAATTGTGGTGATGGTGGTCCAGCTTTACAGGCTAGACTTTCACATCCTAAAGGTTTGGCTATAGCGGCTGATAGGACCATGTACATAGCGGATGGCACGAATATAAGAGCAGTAGATCCTAAGGGTATTATTCACACCTTAATAGGTCATCATGGACATCATAATCACTGGAGTCCTGCTCCTTGCTCGGGCACTCTAATGGCTAATCAGGCTCAATTGCAATGGCCTACCGGTTTAGCTTTAAGTCCTCTAGATGGCTCTTTACATTTCATAGATGATCGTTTGGTCTTGCGTTTAACATCGGATATGAAAATACGTGTGGTGGCCGGTACTCCTCTACACTGCAGCAACAGTGGTCAGGATAAGGCCAATAAAACGACAGACAATGTTTTGGGTACAGTGTTGGCCATGGCTTTCTCACCATTTGGTGATTTGTATATAGCTGACAGTGACTCGAGACGTGTTAATTCCATAAGAGTGGTAGATACTTCGGGCAATATGAGATATTTTGCAGGAAAACAGGAAAATGCTGGGTAAGTGAAAAAAACTTGTTTTATATTTATTGATTAAAAAATTAAGCTTTAACAAAATACAATTAAACTAAAGTTTATTGAAGCATTAAATACATTTTTGTTGAGTCTGCTAAAGATATGTGTACAGTAAAAGCTCTCTTATTAAGGACTTGATGTTTGTTAAAACTTTTAATAGTTTATTGTTGTTCCTAGAGTTTTTGCTGTTTTAAGCTTATTTATATTCATTAAGCTTTTTGCATTTTTGTTCTTATGCATTTATGTGTTTAATTTTTATTTTAATTTAAATCAGTTAATTGGGTCAATGCTATGGCAATTCGTTTTATCAGTTTTATTTTGCATTTGGTGTTTTTTGTTTGTTATATTTTTTTTTATTTAAATAACCATTAATTTTGTGCGCAATATAATAAAATTCATAATGGTATTTAACTTATATAGAAAAATTATAATTTACATTATCTGGATTGTTAAAGTCCAATGTTTTATATTTTTTGTTTATCTTTAGAAAAGTTAAAATTTGTAAAATTATTTTGTTGCTTTATTAGAAATATTAAAACAAAAGCTTACTAAAGTCATTTGAGCCCATAATCCAATAATTTCTTTAATGCTTGTAACGTTATAACTTGATAAGCTTTAATGAGATCAGCCTAAATGTTGTAGAACTGATATATAACAGATTACTTTGGCGATTTGGTGAGAAAACTTTAGCGCGATTGATAAAGTTTCAATTTGGCTCTCTGCCAAACTTATTTAATAAAGTCCAAGAATAATTGAATTGGACAAAATTCATTGTTCTGTTTAATTCTCCTTAATAATTTTATTCTCTAGTTTATTATCGAGTTACTGCAGAAAGTCCTATAATTACTCATTAAAGTAAAAATTTCATTAAAATTTCTAATTAAGCTTAAATTAAAATATCAAGTACTTACTACACCAACTGTCACACATTACTGTTAAAATCAAAAGGGAAATGTAAAAAAAAATATTACTAACGATTGCAAAAAATCTTCGTTGCAATTCAACGTCAATGTCCTTTTAAAGTTAACAACACTTTATATCATAATTTCTGTTTTTCCTTTACCACCAAAATGGAGAAAAAAATCTAAAAATCAGCGAAAGGACAAGAAAAAAAACTGAACATTGGACGAAAAATTCGCGTAAATGACAATGTTTTTATCAGCAAGATTTTTTGTTTGTTCAGCAGCAGCAGCATCAGTTGAAATATATACCAGGCAATTTTTGTTGTATTCATCGTCATCGTCGTGGTAAATATGCCTCTCATGACAACAGCAACAATAAAGGCAACATCATAATCATGCAAAACATCATATTTTGCAAAGGATGAAAAAAAATCAGCAAGCACAGTTTTGTTGCACACATATACACAAAAAGAAACACTATTGCAACTGCTAATACAGCAGATATACATACATAAATACATTCATATAAATTACAGGGATACAAATGCAGATGCAAACAAAGCATTACTGACTAGGATGCATCAGTATACAAGAGTAGTATCATGCAATAAATGTACAAATATGTATGTATGTGTATCATGAGCCTTATATACCTTACTAACATCATCATAACGAAGCTGTCTTCAAAAACTGAAATTCAAAATAACAAAAAAAAAAACGTATCATCTGTATTATCAGTTGGCAACATTGTCATGCTAGTTTTGTATACTGCTGCTGTTTTTGTTTTTTGGTAGTAGTAAGCATGACATTTGCTTGTATCAAAATATGAACAAAAAAATCTTTCCTTTACTCCAACTAAACTACAACGACTGCCGTCTGTTTGTGCTCTAGACAAACGACTAATTTTTTTTTGTTCATTCCTGGTTTTTGCATTAATTTCTTGTAGTTTGTTTTTTTTTATAAAAAAAAATATTGTTTTGTATCTACAGACATTTTCATTTCTTTGGCTTTTTATTATTATGGAGCGTAATGTATACGTGGTGGTTTGTTTTTAATTTTTTTTTTTTTTTTTAAATTTTTGCTCCTTTTTGTAAGGAAACAACAGCAAAATGTGACTAAAAAGTCTAGCGATGTTTTTTAATCTGTCGCTTGCTGTTTGCCAAGTTGTTAATTTTTCTTTCCACTTTTTCATGTTGACTGGCTGGCAGATACTTTCTTATTTCAGCCATTCCAATCAATGTTGCTTATGTGTCAGCAGTAGGAAAAATTGGGTTGAAAATCAGTGGTAGTTTAGCAGAATTTTAATTATTTATAAATATAACGTAAATGGGGCGCAATTGAAAAGTTGATGAAAATGTTTTGTTATCTGGAACGTAACTTGCTTTCTTATTAATTAAAAGACTCCATAGTATATAGATTTGTATGTACACTAGACCATAGACTAGTCCATATACTAGTAGGTTAGTCCATAGTCTATTGGTTACTATGTAGTCTAACAAATAGTCTAGGCAACAGTCTATTAATATGTCCGTAGAGAATTGAATAGACTAGCCCATAGCCTAACCAAAAGTCTATTGACTAGATTAGCCAATAGAACGTCAAGAGATTAGTCCGTAGTGGAGTCAATAGAATGGTCCATAGACTAGCCAATAGCCTATTGACTAGTCCACAGAGCAGTTAATATATTAGTCCATAGACCAGCTAATATACTAGTCAATAGACAAGTCCATATAATAGTCAATATACTAGTTTATATAGAAGTCAAAAGAATAGTCCATGGGCTAGTCAATAGACTGGTACAACATCAACACTAGTCCATAGACAATTATATATAATAGTCAATAGATTAATCTATAGACTACCTATATTATAATTAATAGACTAGCCATAGTCTAGTAAATATAATGTCCCATAATTTAGTACGTAGGCTAGCCAATAATCTACTCCATAGACTTTAACGACCAATCTCTAGACTAAGCATCATAAAAAAGCTCGAAAACTAATTTAGTACTTTTAGTGTGATCGCATCAACTCTTACATTATGATATTTCCACAGTGTAACTTTCGAAAACTCTTACATTATGATATTTCCACAGTGTAACTTACGAAAACTTTTCGTTTCTTTGTTTTTTCTCGCAGAATTTTAAGTACTTTTAAAACACAAATTACTGACTTTTTTTGGTTTTATTTTCATTCAGTGAAATGATGATGGTGTTAAGTTCGTTTGCCTGGTATAGTTTTCTAGGTTTGTTGTCATTAACAACCTTTTTCACAGCTTTACAGAGATGTTGCACATTGTTGTTAAATACAAAACACGCAAACAAAAACTGTTTTGTAAACTCTGCAACATTCTTTGTGCAAATGTTTTGTGGTCTAAAATGCTACGATTTCCTTAAAAAAAAAGTACAGAAAAAAATTATCTCTAAAAACATTTTTTTTTAATACAACAAACTTTTTGTTTTTTAAAACCACAAAGGTTATCATTGTTTTAGTATTTTTCTATTAAAAAAAAACAAACATTAACTCCACAAAAACAATTTTATAAATTTTTATATAAAAACATTTTTTTCACCACGATATTTCCGTTTAGTTGTTTTTTTTTTATCTTTCGCTATAATACATAGAAAAGTTTTTTTTATGTATTTTTGTTTAGTTATTTTTAGTTATAACGGATATATAACATTTACAATTTAAAATTCAATTTATTTTAATCTAAACTCATCTACTAACACTAAGTATTTTGTTGTTAGAATGTCTGCGTATTTCTATATACAAACATACATATATTTCTATGTATAAATGGACGAATTTATTAAACTAATACTATGTTTCTCTTGTATATATTTCACAACCAAAAACAACAACTACAACAACAGAGCCTTAACATGTGACTGCACAAATGGTGCTGGCCTCAATGCTTCAACATCCGGCTTAAATTCTAACATTGGCTCATCCCATGGCTCAATTGGTGGTGGTAGTGTTGGTGCCTATTCTACTACAACAAATCCTACACGTAATAATGGTGGCACAACTCCCACAACACCATCGGGTAGTAATGGATTCAACGGAAACGGAAATGGCGGTTTCAATGGCAACAGTGCGTCCTCCTCATCATCGTCTGCTTCGAACTCAGCTAACATTGCTGGTGGTGGGTGTATTTGTTCACCCTCCTCACCCTCTGGATTAGCTGGTATTGTATCGGGTAATCTTATGTCTACGGGACCAACGACAACAACTACCGTTCTATTGGGTGCTAAAACAACAACAGCTGGTGGTTTAGGCTCTACTTTGGGTTCGGCTGGCACAATGAACGATGATGGCACGTTGAGTAATGCTGAAACACTATTGTCATCAAATGCACGTTTTCAGGCAATTTCAGCAATTGCGGTTGCCCAGGATGGCGTTATTAATGTGGCTGATCAAGGTAAGTTGTTATATTCACATTTTTTACTTTTTTTCTTCGTCAACTCGTTTTCTTTTGTACACTTTGTTACTTTGTGCGCTGCAAAAATTTTGATTTTAATGAGATGGTCATTAGGGGTTAACTAGTTAAAACGTATGGCTTTCAAGTGTCATTCAGGTTTTTGTCTTTTTTTTGGGATAATTTTGAAATTAAAAAGAACAGAGTTTTATAATTGAAAATTTTAAATTGAATTGAAAATCTTGATTGTACTTGAAAAAGATGGTTATTCCATTTGTGGCACATCGAAATATTATTCGTAGACCCACAACTGAATATATATATTCTGGATCCTTAATACATTTTAAGACAATCTAGCCATTTTCATCTGTCCGTCCATCCGTGCGTCCGTCCGTCCTTCCACCTAAATGGGAGGTGTTAAAACTTGGTGAAATATTCCCTATTAATGCAGGCCCTCAAAAAAATATATACGTACATATATATTCTGAATCTTTAATATATCTTTAGACGATCTAGCTATTTTCATCTGTCCGTCCATCCGCCAGTCCGTCCTTCCACCTAAATGGTGAAATATTTCCCACACAAAAGAATATATACGTATATATTCGGAATCCTTAATATATCCTTAGACGATCTAGCTATTTTTATCTGTCCGTCCATCCGTTCTTCCATATGTCTTTTGACATAGAACCTAAATAAAGTTTGGTGAAATACTTCCTAATAATATAGAGTGCTTGGCCTACCCCCATGTAACCCCACTTTCAGAAAATCACTTTGATTAAGAGAAACTCAACAACAAGTTAGTTTTTATTAAAATAAACTCTTTCTCGAATTCGAAAATCATAATATATTTTTTAGTATTTCTGTTGATATAAACAGCACTCTTACTTTTTGTTAAATAAATATACAAAGTTTTATAATAATTAGATCTAGAACTGAAGTTCTATTTTTTAAAGAATTTTTCTTCTTGTAAAAAGTCAAATTTTTTTGTTGCAATTTTTCCTTCAAGATTTATTTCTTAATTTATTCTTAAACATAATTTAATGTTATGCCTTTAAAAGTTATTCTTTTATGCAATTATGTATATTTCATTATATTACAAAAAAATATTTTTATTCAAAAAAAACCTTGAATTTTAATTATATTTTGCAAAACAAAGCATTTGTTTCCTAAATCAACTAAAAATTGGTTTTAATTTAAAAATTTGCATATTTACCCCTCCAGAAGTAGTTAATAATATTATGTTAGCAACTAAAAAATTACTGCATAATTATTGAGATTATAATATAAAAGTTATTAAAATAAAATTCCTCAACAATAGTTGAAAAAAAAAAATCAAGTGCAAAGAAGAAAATCCAACAAAAATTCATAATAAAAACTAACCTTAGGCAAGTAATTTATTCTTTTTTCATCTCCTTAAAAAAAATAATACTTACTGTATAATGATTTTTCCCCTATTATACTAAGATTTCTATTATTTTTATTATTACATTTTTTTTCAACCAAAAGTTAGAGGCTTAAAATTAAGCAACTAAAATAGTTTTTTGTGGGACAAGTATAAAAGTAGAGAAAATATACTTGTTAAAAGAAATATTGAAAGAAAATCGTCTATATAGGTATTTTCTGCCTTAAGTGTTATAAATAAATATACAAACACAATGATTTGGAAAATAATATTCACATAACATTAAATACAAAAGAAATAAAAATGTCACAATTGCTAGGAAACAAACAAGGACCTCAAATAAAAAAAAGAAACACGCATATACACACATAAATGTTTTTGCCATCATTACAAAAACACAGCCATTCCATCGCACACACAAGTCATCATAATAGAAACAGGAAATGAGAAATACTACTGGCGTATTGAATGTAATTGTGACAATTGTGATTATTATTGTTGTTATTATTTGTATACACTTGAGTAAATATTTCATATAAATCAATTGAGTGGAAGTTATGAGCAGTACACTTAAACAAAACTAGAATATCACACACACACACACATATTCATATAAATAAACAAATAGTTATGTACAATAAAAAAATAATCAAGCTTAAGTTATGAGAATATAATTATAATTTCTTTTTTTTAGCAGAATAGCAAATGCTATTTCTCTGTTTTATTAAAAAAATAGTACATTTCTCTTTAATATGGTTTAATAAAATTTTCTACAATATGTGCGTCCACCTATACATCCGTTTCCGTTAAACAAAAAATATGTTTTCCGGCCTTAACTAAAAAGCTGGGTTTGTTAACAACATAAACAGTTTTCCTATATGAACAAATTTGTTCCTTATTCTTTTAAACATAGAAAAGGAAAAATCATATGAATAGTGTATATGCTCCAAAACATATGTATGCATATATTAAGTGTGTTTTTTTCTTCTACTTCTTTTGAAAAATTCTTTAACAGACAATCATTAGCTTTTTTGTTGTTGCTCTATATAGAAAGAAAGCTTTTTTTCTTGTGTACAAAGTGCCAATTTACTTTTACTGACAAAATGCTAACGGAAGTCAAATACGAACTTCCGACACATACGTTTAAATACGTACGTACAGAAACATAAAGGAAGAACATACTCCAATTCTTCACAAAAATACAAATACACTTAAATGGTAACAACAAATTCTATTACCTTTTTTTTATAACTTGTGTAAGTTTGTATGGGAGAGGCAGTTGTAGACTATTTCTATATACATAGTTAAGAACAGGCTGTTAGAAATTCTATTCAAAAGTTGCTGATGACTACAAGTTTTTCATTTTTTGTTCTTTTTATTACATATATTAAATTTTGAAATTGTTATTTGGAGTCCTTAAGAAAAAAAAAAACTATAAATTAAAAGAGATGTAATATTTTTAAGATGTTGTTAAATTTCAAGGTTAGTTTTAAATAAGAATGAGAATTCCATGTTAAAGATTAAATAGAAAACAAAGTTAAAAGAATTGAAGACAGTGCATAGGCTATAAACATTGTTGTTGCTTTAGTTTTTCCATTACAGAATGTCTGAAGCCTAGGACACTGCTTTAGGCCCAAAATTTCATGTTTCATTTTGAACGGATAGACGGACATAAAAGTGTTTCTAACAAAATCTTCTATATTATTCCTATTTGGCCCCAAAATAACTTCTTGAAAATAATCATATTACAAAGAATATTTTGGTAAAATTCCAAGATTCAGTTCTTGTAATTAATGCCCTTTATATGGGCAAATGAGGTCATTTACTGAATCTTAAACAGACGGCTATTTAAATCTCTTTAAAAAAGTTATATTTACTGTTCTATTTTCGTCTAAAACTTCCATTCAAAGATGTAATTATTTCAGCAAAATTGAGCATATGAGGATCTATGGTTAAGGCCCTCAAAATCTAAAAGTTTTCTAAATTAGTTTAAACTTAAACAAGCATCGTTCCCTAATTTAAAAGTAATTTTAGTACTGCGATGATGTTTATTATTAACAAAAAACCACAGCCTACTTTAGGGATAATAAATAGTTGCTTGGTTCCAGGATGTTTTAAATTTAAGTTCGAAATTCGTTATTCTAAATCAAACAAAGAATTTATATTACAAGAAAACACGATTACCTTTTCTCTTAAATTTTCGGATATTTGTAAATATTTGTCAGCAATTAATTATGCCCTCTAAAATTATGTTGGATTAAGAAGCATTTTCACTTAAATACACTTTATTTTTTAAATCTTAAATATTTATTTAAATTTAAACATTTATAACAAAACAAAAAAGACCTCTTTTTATTATCTTGATTTCCTTATTTTATCAAACCTTGATAAATTACTTAACAACAAATTTTCCGTTTTTTTCTATACTTATTTTTCCGTTGTTGTTATTTTGTTCCTTACTTAACAACTCACCATTAGTTATTTATCTACCTTAAGGCAATAAAACAATAACAGCAATACTTTGAAAATCCAAAAACGAAGAGAAAAAAACTGAACACCAAAGTAGAAGGTATAAATTTGTGCTTATTATCCCAGCTTTTCTAATTAGATAAGCGACTCAATGTAATTAATAAATGTCTGGCTATAAAACAGCATTTTTTACAATTTTTCCTTATTTTTTTCTGCTTGTGTGTCTTTTATAACAAATATGCTTATATTTCATAGCCAGGCCATGGCAACCTCCTCACTAGAGACAGAGTCTATAAGGAAAATGTTGATGTAGTAAAGTATATATTTTGTATGAGATAAATAACAAGGTAGTCAAAGTTGTTTAAGGGTTGGAGGGAGAGGAAAAATGAAATGGAAAAATCAATATTAAGTAATTAATCAAGTTACTTAGCAGCCAGAGTGAGTGCTTTGTATTACATGTTTAAGTTTCTCAACTCATCTCTGTAGATGGCCTGGCAATAAACAACACCTATAAGCATGCTTGGCAAAAAAAAACTACTAAAAGAGTAAAAACAGATATCGTTTGTTGAAAAATAAGGAAAAATTTCAAATCAATCTTATTAGCTAAAAGTTGTTGGCAGAGTTATTAATCACCTTTGATGGTTACAATTTTTTTATTTTATTCTTTTTGTTCCGGCTAAATCATGTTGCATGTGCTTTAGTTATGTTGCCAACAAGGTGGTGAAATGAGATTTTCATCAAGGTTATTTTAAGGTAGTGTATAGGGGGTTTAGAAAGAAAAATCAGTTTGAATTTATTTGTATTTTTGTTTATTTATATGGAACAAAAATTTGTCATTACTGTTAAGGTTGTTAAGCTAATTACAACAAATTGTAGCATATTTACAGGCTGATAACTTTTGGAATGTTAAGATAATAAAAAATGTTTGTAATAATATATGCAATGAAAGTTGTTAACTAATTAACAATTAGTTTTAAAAGTACTAGGTTAGGCTATATTTAACTTAACCAAAATAAAGACAGGTATTCCTTGTAAATTCTATTAATCTTAATATATTTCCATAAAATAAGAAATATTTTTTGATTTAGTATTAATGATATTTTATCTTTATTTCAAAGCTTTAGTTAGG